GTATTGTCACTTCCAGTTACACCATTGTGGAGCCAGAAGATGGCGAATGGGGGGCTCAGGTCAACGGCACATGGACGGGTCTAATTGGGATGCTTGTGGAAAAGGTAGGGATAAAAGATAATATGAGTGAGAGGGTATGGTTTTACGTCGCTTTTAGCAATTTTCCAGCAATACCACGGCGGAGAACACCAGAAATGGTCTTCATACATTGTACCCATGCGGGGAATCGAACCCGGGTCTTCGACGTGACAAACGAACGCTTTAACCACTAGGCTACCCCACCGCCCATAAAAAGATAATACCGCCCATAAAAAGATATATCATAATGAAATTATATATGGTCCAGGCCTGACCAATACAGTGAAACTTTCCCACTGTGCAGAAAAACGTAGAAAAGCCCACATTAATCGTGGAAATAGCAACATAAACATAATACCTCGCTACTGAAACAGTAAAAGCGGCAAGTTTAAATCGCTAAAACTGCATAAAAAAACGAGGAGCCTTCAACTTCGATTGTGCGCATGCGCATATGGAAGAGGAAGTCTCGATTGCATGTTGACATTTTCCAGCTTGGACAAAAGTTACATTCCCTTTTTAAGTATTATTGTTCTCTTATTTTGCATTTATTGTCATGATACCTGAGTGCACACTTGTTTAGTTTACTTTCCATTCGTATGAAATGACTGAATACAATTATTTCCACATATTTAATACTTTTTCTACGAGAGGCGATTCACGGTTGCTTGGAAATTGGAAAGAAGCACGGATCGTAATGCGCATGTGCAGTAGAGGTCAATGTTCGCTGATATAAAAATGTTGCAATTCCATAGTTTTTCGTTGCCGTTTTTACTGTTTCAGTAGCGAGGTATTATGTTTATGTTGCTATTTCCACGATTAATTTGGGCTTTTCTGCGTTTTTCTGCACAGTGGGAAAGTTTTCTTTGGTAGGCCTGATTCTTAAGGACAAGAACATGAGATTGTTCACATTCATGAATTGCCTCATTGCCACAAGTTCGTGAATTATTTGAATCTCTGCCTCAGTTCCCATGCCAAAAGTAGTCAAGTCAAGTTCAGCCCAAATACACACTTTCATGGTACCACGCGATACCTGTACCAGTGTATCCTATCTTATTTGGTTAATATGAAGAACCATTTCCCAGTGTTTGTTTCTTGCAGAAAGCTGATTTGGTTGTTGCGCCCCTTGCAGTCATGAAATCCAGAGAGGATGTTGTAGATTTCACTGTACCCTACTTTTACATGAACATGGGCATGATCATACGGACGCCATCAGCAACAACATTGCTGACGCTTGTCTCCCCCTTCCACTACAAGGTCCTAATATATATAGCTATATCTCTTGTTTTGACAACCGCTTTCCTGCTCTTCATGGAGATGATGAGTTCGAACCACTCTCCATACCGGCCAGCTGACAACCTGAGGTATTATGGAGATCCAGTCTTTCACATCTTTGGCGTCCTCATGGCTAAAGGTGTGTACTGTGTGATATTCACCGTGTGGTAGTTTTTGCGTGGTAGTTGTTTACTCGTTTGACAGACAGACAGACAGACATATTTATTTGTATATGTGGCCCTGAGGCCAATAGTACATGTGTACAATAATAACAGTGCACTTATGCGCAACCTGTAAATACGCGAGTTATAGGAACATCAATAAATCAATAAACACCCATTTACAATTTACATTTTTTCTCTCAACATAAGTATGTGGTACAACACAGGGGCTACCTTAAACAACAAGTCAATACTTTCTGTGCGAAGTAGCATACAGATTTTTTGTCTCGACGGTTGGTTATAGAAAAAATAAGGCAAATATGTTTCTCTTATTTCTAAATATTTCGGGCATATAAGTAATACATGGTACTCATCTTCTTGCGATAAATTGCAGCATGGACATTGGATATCTATTGCATTTGAAGTTTTGGCAAATCGCGCCGCCTGGACTTTGAAGTTGTAAGCGTTACATCTAAATTTAGTAAGCGAACGCTTAAGTTGTGGTGATTTAATCTTTGAAAGGTAAATTTCTGTATTAATACAATATTTATATGCTGAATAAACGTTGACACAGGTTGATGACGTTATTTCATTATACCAGTTCCGTTGATAAATGTCTTTGCATCTCTGCTTGAATACTTTGATGAAATATTGAGTATTACTTACATTTTGAGCGAGCCATACATTTCCCAAGCCATGACTAAAAAGAATAGTTCTAACGAATGAAACCCAATTAATATCTCCGGTATCATCTAGTGTTTTAAGCATTTCATAACTACATCTTGAATATCGTGAAATTGGTTGTCTCATCAATCTTAGCAAATATGAAATAACCCGAAATCGGGCGTTAATAAACAGTGGAAAACGTCCACATTCAGCTAAAATAACCTTGTTCGCAGTTCTGTAGCCAACACGCAACAAAAACTTACAGAACTTTGAATGTACCTTTTCAATATTCTTGTTTATGTTAATGCCCCATATTTCAGAGCCGTACGACAATATTGGTTGAATTTTTCCATCAAACAGTTTAAATGATGCATCGATCGGTAATTCTTTATATTTGCATATGAATTTCTTTATGACATGTAGGGCTCGTTCAGCTTGCATAGACAATGTTTCACAGGCTCTGGAGAATATATTTCTACACGAAAATATAATACCTAAATATTTGTAATATGATACCACCTCCAATTTTTGGCCATTAAGGAACCATTTTTCACTTTTAGAGATTTTACCCCCATTTTTAAAAACCATTAGTTTAGTTTTACTAATATTTATCTGAAGACCCCATTTCAAACAATATTCATTTAGAGTATCTATCTTGCATTGTAACTGGACAACAGAATCGGCAAGAATCACGACATCATCTGCAAATAGCATTATTGCAAGATCTCTGATATGTTCGTTAATAAATACACCTCTCGTATCATTTGATAACATTTCCTTAACAAGTTCTTCAACATATAACAGGAAAGGTACAGGTGATAGAATGCAACCTTGCCTCACTCCGGCATATGTATCAAATATATCACTCATTTGAAATTTACTGGTTCTAACAGATGCTCTCACATTGGTGTACATATTACGTAAAAGACGTTGGAGTTTGCCATGTATACCTGACTGTAGTAGTACATATCACAGTTTTGATCTATTAACGGAATCAAACGCTTTCTTAAAGTCTACGAACAGACAATAAAACTTTCTCCCTTTCTTCCGCAGATATTTATGGATAATACTGTTGAGAGTAAATAATGGTCCGTAGTTGAATACTCTTCCCTAAATCCCGCTTGGCACTCAGATATAAGTTCACGAGTGGATATCCAAGACTTAATGCGATTATCTAATATAGCGGTAAATATTTTGTTTAGTGTATTCAATAATGCAATACCTCTATAATTGTTTGGATCACCCCTTTCACCCGACGTATGCAGAGGTACAATCAATCCTACATTCCAGGAATCTGGAAAAACGCCGCTGTCTAGAACTCGATTAAACAGACTATTCATAAAAGGAAGCAATAAAGAAATACATTCTTTAAAAACTTCAAATGGAATACCATCTCCCCCGGGTGGTTTTCCACATTTCAGACTTTTTAATGCACACAATATCTCGTTATCAGTTTTACGATTACCAAGGTATTCATCAGAAGTAATACAATCCTCACAGTCATTAAAGTTGTGATTACTTATATAGCTAAGAACATGTTCCCAGAAGGAATTATCAATGCTATTCGTATCTCCAGAGAGGAGATTTTTGAAATAGTTAAACCATTCGTCAACTGATATATTTTCAGATATATTTTCCCTACAAAAACAATATTTCTTTATAGAATTCCAGAAATGTCGACAGTCTTGTTTCTTTGCAGCATCAACAATTTCGTTAAAATGCTTTTTTCATAATCTTCTTACTCGTTTGAAATCATTTTCAATCATATTGAAGGCAAGCTCAACATCCTATCTTTACATATACATGTATTTTGGGGATATTATATTATTGGGTATTTAAGTAAATACGGTAATTTAATGTAGAAATTAGATACAATGTATATACTCCTGCAATTGGAACATTGTTCAGTTGTTTGGACTAGAATATTTCAGAAAATAATCTCAGTAATCTGTTAGGTTTATCTAGTCAAATTGTTTTCAGTTTATCATTCTCGTACGTAGCCCTTCTGAAAACAGAGCGATTCTGACTATAGCGCAAGCGTATGATTATGAAACACTGTCAAATAGAGATAATGCCAAAGTTGAATGTATCCTTCTCAACGGCTACAAACACACGCAAAGTCAAGTCAAGAGTTCATAAAACAACGTGGGAACACGTATTGGTCACAATCATCGATTGTATCAATGATGGTACCTCGTGGGTTATAACACGCTCACAATTTTTGAAAGTTATAGCTTTTCTGATATATTTGGTATCCTCCCTTAAAGGGGCGTCACAACCATCCGTAGCTTGTATTTTCACATGAAACAGTGTAAAGAAATATGCGGTTCATTGCAAATATGAACTATTATTACATACCCACACGATAGTAATATTGCAAGCTTAGCATATTCCGCATTGCACTCCGATCTTTCTATAGCACGGCTGTCGGATCTACATTTTCAACGTTCGACATTTGTCAGGAACCTTCCGTAAATGTCTAAATACAGGCATTTTTAATCAGTATTCCAAACATTTTAACTTTCAAATTTGTTGGGGGGTTTTTGTGATCAGAACCTGACACTTGATTGATAACATGAGACAGGGGAATGTAATCATACGTATACATCCCGGAGAGATACCTCACCTCACTCACTCACGTTTAGAGTTAGATGTATACTGTCTTTTTTTGGAAAGGGTATGTAGTAAAGAAAACGTCGTGCTAGTGCAAGACATCTTATGACATAAGGTCCAAAAACACTAGCATGAAGTTCTATACTTTTCAAGCAATAATACTTGTAATAACACTTGTTATGATCCTAAGGATGTAATTCTATACCATCGATGGCGTCGTCGCGCATCTTGCTGAGTGCCTGGCTGCTGTTCTCGGTGGTCCTAGCAGCGACCTACAGTGGAAATCTAATAGCATCCATGACTGACGGGAGACAGAAACAACCGTTCTCCAACCTGGCAGAGTTGGCCCAGCAGGACACTTATCGATGGGGACTCGTCGGACGATCATTCTTAGAGACGCTCTTTAAGGTAAGGGCCATCACTGATATCACCCATCAGTGGACATGGGCTCGAACAGATCCACTCCTTCCCGTCCGTTATTACATGTGACTGAGTAAGTGTGTGAATGTTTCTTTAAGCCACAACTTTGCAGCTATTCGCGGCTAGAAAACAAACATTTCCCATAGCATAGAACACAGAATAAACGTGATGACAAAGATAACATTAAAAATTCAAAACGTGAAATATATCATTTATCTTTCAGTTACATTTCCTACGAATATACCACACAAAAAATAAGTGACAAGAGTAAGTGCAAAATCAACACACTGCAACACAAGGGGCTTGACAAAGAATACATTGAGGTTGATCCTCTCACTTTTGTAAAGGAGAATGAGTGTAATGACAGCGTCGAATCTGATACCTTCAGATCACGACTTCATCCCGACGGCGTATATAAGTGAGAGCATGACACTCTATCTATCAACGGCTGTATGGCATGAAGCTCTTCAGATACGTCTATATTCCATCTTTGCTGCCACATATTTCGGTCAAGGTCAGTGTGTGGAAAACCACTGATCGATATGGATTTCTCAAGAGCAGATTTAGCAGCAGACTGTGCCTTAGACGTTACCCTAATGCCAACATGACGGGGTATCCAAGTTAAAAGAAAAAGGATGTCTAAGATAGATTCAAATCACATTTCAAAATTTCAGCTGAAAACGGATTAAGTACAGAATTACTAGAAACCAATACCCCTTGCAGCTTTGGGATGTTTCAGGAGTATTCCCTTCTGTAAAAAGATTATATTTTGTGATCCCTTACATTTTAAGAATAGAGAATATTTATTGATTATACAGTCTCACCTGTCCTTCCATCATTTCTATCAAGTGCTTGAATTGAATTTTGATGTGGTTTTCGTATTATTTATATTGTTCTGGTCTATTGCAAATATTCATATTTTCAAAGTATGCAAATGTTTTGTCGATTGTGGCTTAAATGAATCGGCATTTGGCCCTTATCAAATTCTCAAAAAAGACACACTGAAACTTGATAAGCAGGTTTCGGAATAAAGAACAAAAATAGTATACAGAAGCACAGCTTAAAATATCATCCACGAAACAACCACACACACAAATTAATATTTCCGTTCTATGGTTTGGGCGATGAATCAAATGGTAGCATCTATTTCCAGGATTCTAACCGCAGCGAGTTTCAGGAAATATGGCAGGGCATCGAGAGCACAAGTTCCGATGTTGATTCGCACTTGCGTCGTGTTCTGAATGGTCAATATGCTTTCATTGGCGAAGATATAATCTTTCAAACATGGCGATCTAACAGTTGCGACTTACAGTTTGTGAAAGAACAATTCTACCTACAACAAGCTGCAGTGGGTCTTCCTAACAACAGTGCTAATACCAAGATCTTCTCAAATGAGTAAGTATGGTAACAGCAAATGATTGCGTGTCGGTATATAAAACTGAAATGGGTTTTACGCCACCTTTAGCAATATTCCAGAAAGCAATGCAACCACAATTAGAGTGGGTCTCACTTATTGTATGTTGAGGGGGAAGCGATCCAGGGATCCGTTCCAAAAAGGTATCTTAACTCCCATAACATAGGCGTACGATAGCCATAGCGCTAAGATCAGTTTCTGAACGAGTCCCTGGGTTTTAGGCATTGTTCGCGAACGTTTCCACCGTATATCACAACCATTGCCCCGTCTTAGTATCATCACATACTGTGCCCATTTGGGGATCTACCGTGTCTTCGGCGCTACGAGCGAACGGTGTAACCACTACGCTATCCCCTTGGAAAATAATGGTATGGGTTTTTTGGAGACATTTGCCGTTGGCAGAGTCTGTACTACACGTAAGCATTTTATTAGTAAATATGTTTCGTGAAAATGAGTTAAAACTATTATCTATGTTTAATTTTTCAAACCATAGATCTGATGAGCACATTTATGTGACGATGCTGTGATACGCTGGGATATTCCTGACAAGGGCGTTGAACCATACCCACTTTTGTATATACTTACAGGATTTTGCAAATATATGAAAGAGGACTTACACGCCACTGGTATGATCGGTGGATATCCAAGAGTGATGAGTGTGAAGACCAGGGGAGACGACCCTACCGAGTGAATCTACTGGTCTTGAAAAGTCTCTTCTATGTATCTGGGGCTGGTGTCGTTCTAGCCGGGATTGTGCTTGTTGCTGAAATCCTGTTTAACACAAGGTGCCTTAAGACCAGGGGTACAGGACCTTGTGTTACTCGATAGAATGGTGAGGAGGTGTTATACCACTTAATTGTAAATAGACCGTGAACAGATGGTGGTGGGAGAGAGTTACCGTAACAAACATATGGTTGTTTGGCTGGTTGGTTGGTTAACGCCGCACTCAGCTATATAGCGGTTGTCTGTAAGTAATCGAATCTGGACCAGACAATCCAATGATCAACATCATGAGCATCGATCTACGCAAATAGGATACGATGACATGTGTCAACCAAGTCAGCGAGGATGACCACCCAATCCCGTTTGTCGCCTCTTACGACAAGTATGAGTTACTGAAGATCAATTCTAACCCGGATCTTCACGAGTCCCTGGAGGTTGAGCTTATCCGACCATATCTTAGTTGCTCAACGTTATTCTTGTGATATCCGAGCAGCCATTCCTTTCACTGATTATGTGGCTATGTATTGTTTATATTCATGCATTAAATATCATGGTACGGTGATGAAACTGTTTCCCTCATTCTCCAAAGACGGCATGGAATCAATTATATAGCCATTGCAGAGACGTGCATGGCGTTTGACCAGAATGAGTTAAAATAATACGTGGCATCGGCAGAGTTTACATAAGTAACTTCAAGATTCTTATAATTCCATTTTGATTTTTCAATTGCTTGAATTACAAATTCATCTAATCTTTAATGATCCTTCTAACATCAGGTCAATCAATAATACTAAAAAAGATCGAGTATATACATTTCAAGGCTTTTTCAAAATTATGATAATACAGAGAGCGTGACCTGGATAACATTAGATTTTGAGCTGATTTTATCACCCTACCAAAGACGTGATGGTAATTAGTGATTATTTCATTGTTAAAAATGTATTTTAATAAACATTTTCAAATGAAAGCGGCAAAATCCATTCTGTATCCACACGAAATCTCTGCAATTCCGACTATATTATGAACATTTCCGACTATATTATGAGCATGTGTTTGCTTACCGTACTCATCATACAGTAATATACGAGTCTGTTAATGATCAATCAACTTATCCAATAAGATTCATATCGCACTTCATTCTTAATTCATATCGCACAGTTGATTATCACAAATATATGACACATTAACACAGACAGGCAATATATTCAATAAAAGGTAAAAAACCTTACATGTAGCAGGTGCACATGTGACTTGCGCAAATAGACAATATATATATTTACAATTGTCTATCTTAGTAAATATGGAAATTCTTTGTCATCATTTAGTAAATACGGGAATTACACACGGGTTTGTTTTAATCATGGAATTGCAAAGCATCTGTAGTTTGAGTTACATTTTGTTTTAGTTTTATGAAAAAACAACAGTTATATGAAGCCTCATAAAATAATGTTAATGTGAGTGGGTAGAGAGCCAAATATAACTTTTATGTATAACGTCTTTCATTTCGAAACGGTACAAGAATCTGTATCGAAGGGTCGCACTGACGAAATAGATGAAGTTGTTATCCATACACATTTGTGATTGTTGGACTTCCCAACTTCTAAAGTTTCACTCAAAGGAGTTCGAGAGGTATTTAAGAGAGATTCAAACTGTTTATAGGTGTATAGTTCTTATTCACATTTGCACATCGGGTTGGGAGGAGATTGTCAAGTAGTATCTGCTTAAACGCAGACAGGCATAACGTGACATCTTGTGATATAAAGCATACAGAGTAATTACAGTTTGTGTCAGCTAGTAATCTGTTACATGACTGTACTTCATTATCAGCATAACACCCACATGGGTACAATGTGTGGAGTCCATTTCTCGTGTCCCCTGTCATGTTCGTAATCGCAACAACAAGCGTGTTTCCGCCGAAAGTCATTTAAAATTGCACACCACTCTCCAATATGACAAACTGAAGGAAAAGCAAAGGTTCGGAAAAATTGGTCAAAAATGAAAACAAATGTCATCTGAAGATTACTGAGAAAGCAATGTTTGAACCATTGGACTCCTCTATTGATAAAATCAACGTGAAATTGTGGGTAAACCATTTAGACAAGCACTCAACAATTGTGCTCCTTTTCCTGCAGATCTCTTTCTTGATGCATATAAATCACAATTCCTGTTCTGGTTGCAAAATCAAATCAATGTAATTTAGCCAAGAGATTGAACTTCAGTGATCTATATATATATATTTTATTTTTCTCCGCTTCCTTTTATCTAATTTTTAAAAATACTGATAATGTACAATTCCCTCCTTGTACGAGTCAAATTCGCTCCTCATCGCTTGGCCGGTAGTTTGTCTCATAGTCCTAGAACTTCATTATTTTCCCTTCCGCCCAACCGTTTCTGCAGTTCTAAAGTCCCAAATGAACCAAGTTTAGATTTCCCTTGTTTCTGAATCCCCGAGATCATCGAGGCTTATTTTCAGTCTAAATGGAGTTATCTGTTTCTATCCATATTACCTATTTTCAAAAACTAGCGTTAGTCTAAAGTGTCATAATCCTGTAAAATTATGGGTCCAAATATGCCCCAGTGATGATTATTGACCATAGCTATATTTCTGAATTTTAGACATTAGACAACTGTTGTTAGTCAAAATATTCAACTTGCACTCTGTGAAGCCTTTTTGAAGAGTGTTGCTTTTATTTTTTTTCATTTTATTTAAACACAACTGTAGTTGCCGTTCAATAGTATGCATATTCTTACCGCAACAAGAAATGTTAAAATCATCCACAAAAAGTGATCCATCAATTGAATCGTTTAAAACCTTGGATAATCTGTTGATCTTAATGCTAAATAAAGTGACAGACAAAATACTTCCTTGGGGGACACCCTGATCCTGATTATAATGGTCAGACAGGGTTGAACCCACTCGGACTTGAAATTGCCTGTCTTTTAAAAACTGCGATATAAAAAGAGGCAAACGGCATCTCAAACCAAAATCATGTAAATCCTTCAAAATGCCATGCTTCCAGGTTGTATCATAAGCTTTCTCAAGATCAATGAAAATTGATACAGCATGTTGTTTATTTACTATAGCATTTTTAACAAAGGATTCTAAACGTACCAAATGATCAATGGTACTACGATTTTTCCTGAAACCACATTGAATATTGGTTATAAGGTTATTGGTTTCAAGATACCAAGTTAATCTATTATTCACCATACGTTCCATGGTTTTACAAACACAGCTAGTTAGAGAGATCGGCCTGTAATTCGACGGATCTGTATGGTCCTTGCCAGGTTTTGGTATTGGGACTACAATGGCATTACGCCATGAAGGAGGAAATTCCCCAGACGTCCATATTTGGTCAAATATATCTAAAAGTGTCATCAGACATTGTTCAGGTAAGTGTTTCAGTAGCTGGTAATGTATATTGTCATCACCCGCTGCAGTGTCATGAGCTTGCTCAAGAGCAGTATGTAGCTCATGTAATGAAAACACTTCATTATAATCTTCACCGTTATGTGATTCGAAATTAAGTTTTGTCTTTTCCTGTTGCTTCTGATATCTCTGAAACTCAGGGACATAATTTGCCGATGATGAATTTTTGGCAAGAGTTTCGCCAATTTTATCTGCAATTTTAGATTTGTCAGTTATTAAGTTATCGCCATCTTTAAGATGGTGAACAGCAGATTTTGAACCTTTGCCTTTAATTCTTTGAACCATGTTCCATACTCTGGACATTGGCGTACGTGAATTAATTTTGGAGACATAATTTCTCCAAGATTGTCGTTTGTTTTGTTTAAAGGTACGACGCGCCTTTGCATTGAGTATTTTAAATTTATTTAAGTTATGGACAGTTGGATGATGGCAGAAATAATGCTCGGCCTTTTTCCTCGCTTTTCTGGCTTGTCTACAATCTGTATTAAACCATGGTTTTCGTACATGTGGAGTCGTAGAGGACTTTGGTATACACTCATCAGCTATTTCATTTAAAACGTCAGCAAAAGTTTGAATGGGATCAGTTATATCACTGAAACATTCAGGTCGCAGTTTCGATTTACATATAGTTTGATATAAAGACCAGTTAGCCTTCGAAAAGTTCCATCTTGTATACGATGGAGAATCAGATGGAGTTATTTCTGAAAGGATAGTTGGGAAGTGGTCACTTCCACAAAGGTCATTATGAACAGACCAATCAAATTCATTCAGGTTAGAATCTGCAAGAGACAAATCCAGAGAAGAATAAGTGCCAGTTGCAGGATGCAG